CACATAAACAGCTGCAGTTAATCAAATGTGGCAACGACAAGACAGGTGAATGCAAGGGCTGCAGTGGGAGGCAAGAGGAGGTTACCCAGCTCCTGGAGGGCTGGGAAGACTTCCTGGAGGAGGTGATCCCGAGCTGAGTTTGAAGGATGATGGAGTCAGCCAGGCCTAGGAGCAGAGTGAGGGGTAGTCTCTGGAGCAGCAGGAAGAGCGGTCGAATGCAAAGGATGAGAACTGATCCTTATTCAATTCATTTTGCCTGGCCTTACATTGAGCTGATGTACTATCATAGTGTCTGTGTATTCTCAGAGCCTGCCATGCTGCACACAGTAGGCACTCAGTTAATGTTGAACGAATGAAAGTTTCCTTGTTGGGATGGAGGTCAACACCCTCTCTAAGGAATTTCTTCAGCACCAGAGAACTGCTGGTTAAGAAATGTCTACAAACAAAAGCCTTTGAGGCCATTTGTTCTCACAAGAGTCCTGTGATCAGAGTCCCTCAGTCAGGGACCCACCACCATGCAGGTGGGCACTGACAGCCAGTGTCCTGGGTCAAGGCACTCGGGCATCAGAAGGAGGGTTGGTGGGCCCCTGAGGCAGTGGATGAAGGTGCAGATAGAATTTTGGGTATTGAAGAGTTAAGAAAAAACAGATCTGGACTGGCTCTAACCTGTCACTGGGGGGAGCCTGATCAAGTACCCCATTCTGTGGTGTGCCTGTATTGATCTCCCAGGCCTGTCTCCTGGCGTCCTGGAACTTCACGCAGGCCCCTTCCAGTATTACGTTTTAAAGGGAAATGCAAATCACCTGAAGGCTGCTCCATGTTTGGAAGAAGTAAAAATCAATTCTGTTTTTATTAAAGTGATTTTTGGACACTGTCAAAAGCTCTCTCATCTCAGAGTTTGGGGTGACAGATAGGCTGCTGGTCTCAATTACATAACTGAGCCAACTGGCAGCAGTGGGCCATCTGATCAGGAGTGGACTCTGCTCCATGCCCTGCCTGAAAACATCCAAGAGCAGCCTCATCCCATCCAGGCCTAGAGACACTCCCCTCTCCCCCATGCCCCCACCCGAGCTTCCCCGACAGACTGGCTCAGGCAGTCCACGCCAATTCTGATGCCAAGCAAAGTCAGACAAAATTAGGGAGGAAAATCTGCTCTGGAAAAGTTTACGTTATGTAACGCATTCCCCAACTAGTTACACTGGTCTTATTTAATATCAGGAGTTCTATGTTATCTTCCCTCGGTTAACTGAGATAATTGGGTATTTATTTCATTTATAGCATCAATTATGAGCACAGAAATTAATCCTTGAGTGGTGCATGTGGGAACTCAATTGTCAAGAGGGCACAAGGGAAACCTGGACAGAGCACGGTGCTCTTCCCCACCAGCACGGGAGGCTGCAGAGGACAGCCATCCAGAAGCCCTGATGGCAGTTGGTCTTTATTGTTCTTGTGAGCTTAAGGTATTTTGAGATATTAAATAAATGGTAATAATTGGCTCCAGGAGATCCATCCCTGGAGGACACCTGAATAACTCATCAGCAAGGTGCTGGGAAAGCAGGCAGAGATGGCAACTAAAGCCAGGAGAAGCAAATGCCTGCACTCAGCACGTCGCTCTGTGCATGTCAGTCAGCCCTGCTCTGCAGAGGAGCTGAAGACAGTCCCCCTCCAGACTGGAAACAGGAACTTGGGGAGGGAGTAGGGCAGGAGAGTCCAGAGACAGGAGGAGGTAGATGTCTGCTGGGAGCTGTTGGAAGCAATTGGACCATGGCAGAATATTGGTCCCTGGTATTCTGTGGCCACTTGAAGCTCAAATGCCAGAGCAGAGTAAGAAAAAGATGGGTTTCCTGGAATGGTTGAACAAAGCTACACCTAGCTAGTGAACGTGGTCAGGACAGAAACCAGTCAGAGGAAAGGGAAAGATTTCCAGGGACAAATCAGTGAGACCTCTAGTAAGGGCAATAAGATCCCCATAGTCCTGCAGAACATCCCACGGCATGGCTCAGATACCAGGTAAAGGCCACTCTCCTGTCTTCTGGAGGGCCAGGGATGGGGCAGAGCACACAGGGCCAAGGGGTCTGCAGGCCCTTGAGAGGACAGGTAGGTCTAGAAGGGAATGAGAATAGTATCAGGCAAAGCAAACGGAGAAGGCATCCCATTCACATTGACCCATCCATTAAAAAGCATTTTGCCAAGCACCTGCTATGTATAGCCAAGCAGCAAGCCTGGTAATGGTGCCAACTGCCATCTCAGGTCAAAGTCAAAGTAGCCTGATCCAGCACTGAGCTACACCAGCTGGGATGGAGGGAAAGACAAGGCTGCTTCCTTGTTACTTATCTGAGTTTAAGGAAGACACTACTAAAGGTTTCCTTTCTTGCCCATTTGGTTCTCCCAGAGGCTAGACATTTTAATGCATAGAGAAGGGAAAACAAACTTGTTCACTGTCAGGTACAGGGTGAGGAAGTCCCCAGGGCACCCAGACAGGGGAAGCACACTGCTCCCCAATGCAGGCATCCTTCCCTTCCTCTTGCCTTCACTTTCTGACAGAGTCGGCCTCCCCCTCACCCCCACCAAGAAAGGAAATGTGAGGCCAAAATTGTCCACCCCTGATGCTGGACTTGCCCCTGATCTACAGGGTGAGTGCCAACGGAAGTCAGCAGTTCCCCCAGCAGTAGTAAAACACTGGATTTCACTATGAAAGCAACCATTAATTTTTAAGGCAGCATTTAAACTTCCCAGAAGGATATGTTTTATTTATAAAATCACTGTGTGTCTAGTACAGTGCCTGGCATGTAGTACTCACTGGACTGATGCCTTTTTGACTAGCAATATGACTAGAACAGAATATCACAGACGGAGGGGATAATAAAGAAGTAGTAACCCTGAAGGTCTGATTTCTACCTAGGGGCCCTGATGGCATGGGAACAAGTGGAGTGGCAGAGTGAAAGGAGAAACGGGACTGGAGACAACCAGATGTGTCACTGAAATGAGCTCTGCCCTTATCAACTATGTGACTATGGGATAACCTCTCTGAGCCTCACCTTTTGCATCTTTAAAGGGTATAGAGTTTTTCCTACCTTGCAGGCTTGTTGTGAAGACATAGAGATAATATATGCAAAGAACTCGGCACACTGCTGACACATAGTAGACACCCATATGCTGTTATACTAATAATAAAAAGTAATGGGCAGGTGGCCAGTGAAGTTTCCATTGATCTCCTCTGAAACGATCCCATTTTAACTCTGACACCCATCAATCTGTCCTGTTTCCTCCCCATGGCAGTCATGAGGCATCCCTCTGGTGTCATGAGTCCCATCGAGGAGCACCTGAGGACACTGAGTACTCACAGCCACATTAGGAGCATGACTGGTGGGGGTGGGCACCTGGCCATGCATGAGGTCCCCCTCAGGAAGGTGAAGGAATGGCCAGGGTAAGCCTGGAAGGGACAAAGGTGCCTCCTCCTCCTGACAGTAGCCAGTTCCCCAGCCTGTTATATCCCAAAATATCCAACTGTGCCAAAAAACTCACTTCTGCCACCTGAGCCAAGGGAGACAAGGTCAAATGACTAAATATTTTTACCCACTCTGGGTAAGCAGCTACATGAAGAAGTGTGTGTATGTATTGGAATGACAAGGGGTGGGATGACTTGTGTTAGACAGACAAGAGGTAAAGGGAATACCCCAATCAAACATGGCCTTCACAAATGGATGGTGACACCCACTGCTACTCCCTCCCCCTCCCGTGTGGCAGTATGACAAATGTAATCATTTTAAAAGGTCCTATCACCTGCTCAGTCATTCCCAATAAGCACACACAGCACTATGGAAAAACTGACACCACTGCCATGGGGTTTTGGCCAGGAAAAAAACCAAATCACCAGGATGCCACCAACTGAATTGTCAAAGACCAAATAAAAAGCTTCATGAATTCTCCATCAGCAATATAATGCTTCCTCTCCTAAGCAAATATAGACCCAACATATGAATTGTGGAGGGATTTTGCATTAGACTCAATGGCTTCCAACGGCTGAAGCAGAACCCCCTAAGAAATCTATATCTCCATAAAGCTGCCTTTATTGGCTCTAATCCTGTTAGGGTGAAGACTGTAATCTCCTTCCGAGTCCCCATCCTCTGATGGAAGCTACACATCCCAGCACCATAAATACATTTCTGTGACCTCAGCCGCAGAGAAGACCTCAAAGAGATGGAAGAGACAGAGTCACTGTGACCTCACTAAGTACCTGTCCCTCCCTCTGACGATATTGTTGCATCTGCATCTGATCACATGATCCATTCAGACCATCTCACAGTGGCTCAGGTAGGCAGGGTCATTCAATCACTGACTCAGGCTAAGAAAGCAAAATTGCTCCTCCTATAGTGAGAAAAAACAAATCAGGTGCCTCGCTTTGCAGGGTCACTAAGTGCAGAGTCACATAAAGTCTGCTCAGAGCTACTGAACCCTGAGCATCTGTGGTAGCAGAGAAGAAAAGTAAGGCAAAAGAGGGAATAGCCTGCAAATGTACTATAAAGAAGAGATGCAGGAAGGATCCAAAAAGAGTGTTCTTGGTGTCTTCTAGTAATGGAAATGTGTACCTCCCTGACAACAGTCACCAAACGTCTCACAACCCTCTTCCTCCCGATGCATTGCTCTGTTTTCCTCCCCATGGCAGCCCTTAAATGCACAGATGCATGGAAGAATGCAGCCATCATCCCACCTGGAGACACCGTATACATACACACACAATGCATGGCTGAAAAAAGAAATGGTGACTTAATTTTCCAGGTTTTGTAAAATACATGCTCACCTTGAAAAGAAAACTCAATTCAAAGCAAGCCACCATCCCCAGAAAAATCACTCATGTGCTTTCCCCTTCTGATGATGCAATGTCCCCTGTTCCCACAACTTGGGTGAGGGACTCCCTCCTCCTCTGCTGGATCCTGATACCATCCAAAGCTTCACCTCCATCCGACCTCCTCCCCTCTAGTCCACCAGCACTGACTTACCCCAGTGTGGTCATGGTGACAATAGTGTACCAAAAAGAGGCAGGGATGCTCGTGAACTTGCTGGCAGAGGAGCCCTTCTCGGCGTAAAACATCACAGTGGCAAAGATGATGATGGCCATGGTGAGGGAGAAGAGGAGAAAGCCGAGTTCGGAGGCGCAGCTCTTCAGCGTGTAGCCCAGGATCCGCAAGCCCTGGGAGTGGCGGGAGAACTTGAAGATCCGGAAGACGCGGAAGACCCGGAGCGTGACGAAGGCCCCGGACACGTCCTCGTTGTCGGTCATGACCAGGCCGATGTAGTAGGGCATGATGGCCACCACGTCGATGATGCTCATCACGCTGCGGATGAAGCGGTAGCGGCTGGGGGGGGCGAAGAGCCGCAGCAGGTACTCCACCGTGAAGATCATGACGCAGGCCGTGTCCAGGCAGAAGAAGGCCACCGAGTAGCGCTCCCCGCACGGCAGCTCCTTGCTCCCCGGGACCGTGCCGCACGGCACCGTCTCCACCACGTTGGTGATGACCGACACGGCGATGAAGAAGCCGGTCACGTAGTAGAAGACCAGGGCCAGGGTGCTGGTGTGCGGGTTCTCGAAGGCCCGCCACATGGTCTGGCGGAAGCTGAGCGAGGGCATGGACTCCTGGTTGTTCTCCGAGTCGTTGTCGTCCATGAGCCGCTCGGCGTTCTCCCGCTTGCGGTCTTTGTACTCCTCGTAGCAGCAGTCTCCGATGATCTCGGGGAGGATGCCGTAGAAGGCCAGCTCGTCGTCGTAGGCGGAGATGCACTCGTAGCGCGGGTAGTGCAGCTTCCCCGTGCGGTAGAAGTTGAGCACGCAGCGGAACACCTCTGGGTCCCGGTCGAAGAAGTACTCCTTGGTGTCCTCGTTGAAGAAGAACTCCTTCTCCGTGCTGCCCAGCAGGGTGTCCGGGTAGCGCTCCAGCGTGGTCCTCCAGGTCTGGAACCTCCGCCCACTCACGTTGAGGATGATCAGTTCATCCTGTCGCTTGTTCTTGTCGGCGGGGGCCAGGGGCATGGGGCAGTTGGCCACTGGCATCCACCCGATGGCCGCAGCCCGGGCAAAAGGCAGCCAGGCTGCAACTCCGGCCGCCATGGTGACTCCAGCTCTTAGGCCGGCAACTGCTCGGACACTTGGCACACAGGCTGGGAGTTAGTTCAGCGACCCCTGGGAGACAGGAGGAGAGAGCAGAGAAAGGTGTGAGTCCACACGGACTACCAGGTGGGAACTGGGACAGAGGGAAGGATCACTGGTGAGTGAAACAGCAAAAGTCTCCAAGGCAAATTAATGCCACTGTGAACTTACTACCACAGAGAGGGGACTGGGTTCCTTTCCATCCTATCCATCCGGGTAGGGAGAGCATCTAGCAGGGCGGTGCAGCCAGGGATCACCAGATGTTGCTGACTGCCTGACAAACTGTCAAGTTTCAAGAGGGCTCAGGAGCATTTGGAGGGAAAGCCTCTTTAGCAGGAAGATCTGGGAAGACGTGGGCTATAATCAGCTCTGAAAGGTTATGGCATTATTACGAATTTAAATTGGGAGAGGGTAAATGAGTTCTCATTAAACGAATTTAAAAGTGGGATAAACATGCTAATTTTTATTTCACTCTTCACCCATGAGGTAATCAGGAATGGGGTGGGGATGAGGGAGAAAAGGTAAACACATTCTTTCTACTCCTCCCTGGTGAGGAGGAGGCTGGGGCTACCCATGTCTGGAAAATTCTCTGAGATGGCCAGTGACCACAGTAGGCCCAGAGTTTGGTGAAGCTCTGTCCCCAGCTCCAGGGGAGAAAGCAGTCCCTGGTGGAGTTCTCTACTCTGAGAGACACTTGGCTCTATTCCTTGCTCTAGCAACCTAGTGTCTGATTGTGCCCCTCAGAGCCAGAATGGAAAGGAAAGGCATGGGGAAGGTCGTGAAGCTGGGCACCCTGTGAAGGGCATCTTGGGTGTTTGCTGCACCTGACTTGCATACACCCTATGGCTGCAGCCTGGGCAAAAGGCAGCCATGAGCCCTCTCCCTCTCCCAGGAAGCTGATCCATGCCACTGCCATCCCTAGATTCCTCGCCTCCTGTCTCCATCTGCCCACATCCGTAGCTCCCTTTAGTTATATAACAATACTCCTTCCCATGCCAGCCTCTCTCACCTGGCCCCCACTCCACCCGCAGAGAGTCCTCCAGAGCTGGGCCACCTTGTCCCTTCACCCACAGCTCTCTGAACCACACTGTGTACACACTTCCCCATCACCTGTGTGGATGGAGGCAACAATGACATGGAAAATTATATTTGGCTTCAGGAAACAGATTTACCTTCCTAAATCTGGCTTTTTTAAGATGATAGTGAAATGACTCTGCAATCCCCAAATGTATACCATCTGTGGGAAGACATGTGGTGACACAGAAACACACGTAACAGCAACGGGAAATTGTTTCGGGTCGACACACTTATCTCCACTAATCCTAAACTGATCACACAGAACAAATCCTAACTCAGAATTATGTCGACCCTCTGGATTTCAGTCAGTTTGACTCTGTGTTTAAACAAATGAGGCAGAGGTGAGTCTTTTTTTTTTATTCTGTTATACAAAGACATAACAGGATCTGATCTTCATCTCTCCCTGTAAACCTGTTTCACCTTCTCCTGCCTCCCAGCTCTTCCACATTTTTTCAGATCTCTACCTCCTCTCTCTCCTGAGCTGCCACTGGGTTTTCCACCACGATGCCTCTGAAACTGGAAAGATCTAAACAGAACCTCCCTTCTTGCAAAAAGCAGCTCTTCACCTTTTGCTCATGGCATCTTTAACACAGGCCTGTCACCCCAACCATCTTTCTCCTTGCTCTACCGTAAGAATTGCCAAATAATGAGACAGTAGCTCGTACTGCCTTCAGGAATGCCCCAATTCCCCCGGGACTCCTTCCTGCTGGCCTTGTTGTCTCTCACCCTCGCCCACCACCCCATTTCTCCTATTCCCCTGGAATCCATTCTGCCTGGAGTAATCTCCCTAAAGCAAGGTTCTGATTGTGTTTTACCCCACAGCTTACAAAATAAAGCCCCAACTCCTTGGCTCGGCATTCCAGAATTTCCACAAGTGGATCTTGGCTTGACATTCCAACCCAGTGGGTCACGTACCCATCCTAGCCTCCAGCAACAAGACCACAGACTGGCTCATGGGCAGACCCTGGGGGTGTCTGTGGAACGCCCTTCCTTCTTTCAGAAATATCCTTGCCCTTCACCTCTCCTCCAGGAATCCTCCCTCTTCATCACCCTCTCTGTGATGCCTCTTCCTTCCCACACAATGTTAATTTCTCCCTGCTTTGGGCTCTCAGCACTTTGCCCTTTTTCTCTAGCACCTACCACCCTCTGGCTAGGCTTACAGATACTTTATACTCACTTTATTAATAATAATGGTTAACAATAACTTACTCTATGCAGGGCATTGCACTAACTGTTTCCCTTGAATTATCCCATTTAATCCTCAACGCAACCGTTGAAAAGAAGAGGCTATTGTGTCCCCCATTTCATGGATAAGGAAAACTGAGGCCCACTGAAATGCAGCATTCTGACAACCCAGACGCAGCAGAACAGAACAGGGATCCCACCTCGGGCAGTTTACTGAGGGCTGTGTGCCAAGCACAGCAGCACATGCTTATGTGGATCATCTCAATCAATCCCATCAACAACCCTGTGGGGTAGACACCATGTAGTTTTGTTTTGCAGATGAGGAAGATGAAGCATAAGCAGTAGTAAAGTGTCTACAGGAAGTAATAAGTAGGCAGAGTGATTCAAACACAGGCAGTCTCCATGTGGAGTTCAAGAGCATAGTCAGGCCACTCCTCAGCTTTCTCCATCCCACACTAAGCTCTTTAAGGACAAAGGCCATGATGCCTCAACTTTGATAACCAACCCTGGAGGTAGCACAGTGCACTGCATCAAGAGCTGCTCAAACTGGGAATCCTAGTGTTACAGGTGCCATTTGCATTCCATCGATTTTATTCCATGCCTTGTTAATGTATGTCACTAGTTGTCAAATGTGGGCATCCTCTCTCCAGACAGTAAAACACTGAAAACAATCTGAATCAAAAGAATCCAATTCAAGTACCTGCCGCTGACTCACTGTACTCTCAGTCAAGTTTTCTCAAGGAGCCCTGCCTCAGTTTCCCTACGTACATCCTTAGGGGAATTTTCATAGGTTCCTCTGCTCCCTAATAAAGGGAATTTGATTCAGATGCTACAGAAGACAACAGGATTGACAATGACATTTCCCATAAGTGTCACCACTCAGAGAATACAAAAACAGCACAGGCCTGACTGATGAGCTCCTGATTACAGGAACTAAAGAAAGAAAGGAGATTGTTCATCAGTGGCAGTGGGTAATCCACATGCCCCTGATAGAAGATTCAGGAACGCATCCTGAATTTTATATCTTTCTTCAAGAAATTTTCCCTATAACTACAATACTTTCTGTAAGACTAGAAAACTTCATAGTCCCTCAGCACATACTTAACGAGATTTTCGAAGGGGAAAGGGATGTTTCGGAAGCAAGCCCACAATTTAAATATTGGCCACAGATGATTCCAGTCAGACTTAGTTAATATTTATTGAGCACTGACAATGCTCTGGGCACTGGTCTCGGCACTATTATACACAACATTTAATTTATTCCCACAAAAATCCTATGACATAGGCATTTCTGCCCACAAGTTGCAGCTAAGAAGACTGAAACTCAGAAAGTTTGCTTCAAAATGGCCAAATTCCTTGTATACAGGAGTTGATAATTTTCAAATAGACTATTGATCAGCTCACTGCTAAAATGGCTTTTCTGGTGTAGGTGGAGCCAAAAACTGATACCCCAATGAAGAGAGCAGGACACAGAGACTCCCCTCCCCACTTTCCCCAGGCAGCAAAGGGCAAGGGCTCATGAGGCCTCACATTCCAGTTTCAAGTCTACCTTGCACTTGTGAAAGCAAGCCACTGTTACCCTCTGGGCCTCAGAGTCCTCATCTGTAAAATGAAAGAATTGTACAAGAAAGTGACAAGGGACACTTTGGCTCAAATAATCCCTGATTCTTCTGGATCCAGGACTTGAAGACCACAGCTCAGGTCTCACTGAGACCTTTCCATGACAGTCACTCATGCAAAGCAGGAAGGAGAGCATCTGGGCTTGCTGCTGTGGGGATGGAGTTAGCCTGAGCCTCATCTTAGGAGAGGGAGTTCTGGGAATCCCTGATGAGGCTGATGCCCAGAACAGGGCACACAATCTGTGTCATTTGGAATTCAAGGCAATCCAACACTTGGTCCACCCACAGAACCGCTGGACACCCTCCTGGAGAGTAAAAGGGACCAGACTCTGAGACAATGGGCCCTGAACCTCTGATCTTTAACATCCCTGCTTTATTCCAGAATGGGGCTCGGAGAGGCAGAACCTTGAGGGGGTTCAAGTGGCGAAGATTAAGAGACTGCTGAGTCAGGAGGTACCCTGTGGAACCCTGCTTGGCCAAACACACAGCACTGCACCCTAAGAGGACAATACACTTCCCCTTTCATTCTGCCAGAGCTCCTCCAACCTTACTCCCAAGCTGCAATGCCAGGCACCTGCCCCTGCCAAGTTGAGCCCCATCACCTTACCGTCTCCACCCTAGGCCAATCTCCTTTTCTCTAAGGGCCATGAGTATTTTACAAACTGCTTTCAGATGAATAATTGAGAGCTCAGGGGAAGGAAAAAATAAACCCTTCCTGTCTATCATAAAAGCCTGTGGTCCCAAGGCCAAACCTTTACCCCAAGCATCAATCCAGGACAATCTCCCTAAACAAGGCCAGGCAAGCACCAGGCTATCTCTAGAGGCTCAGAAACTGTCCCCCTGGTAAAAGGTGCCAAAAAAAGAACAATTACCCCAATGCTGCTTTCTCTGTGTGCGTGTCTGGGTTTGGAAGGAGAGGACAAGTGTCCCACCAGACACCATGCCCAAGGCCACACCAGCCATACCCACCATACAACCCTGCTAGCACAACCTGGCTTAAGTAGGGCCTTTCCATGGCTCACACTGCAGTGCTCAACCCGTCACGGGCACCAACAGCTCCTGGAGCCAGCCTGGGTATGAATTCCTGCAATATGCACAACAGTGCGGCCCCATTTCCAGCCAATGGCACTGCACATGCCTCAAATGCCAAGGTTTTACTAGGACGTGGACGCCTTACAAATGAAAAATCTGAAGCTATTTTTGTTTTTTGGCAGAAGAGTTTGACAGTGGGAAAGGTGGGGCAGTGGGAAAGCTGGGGAAGAGACATTTAAAACAGGTGAGCTCTGAAATGACAAAGGTGAAAAATCCTGGAAAAGGAAAACACATAATCCCCTGCTCCAAAAAGTCAGCTGCCCCATTAAGCAGATTCCTTTTTGGAGACAGAAGGCCAAAAGTGGGCAGAGTGACCAGACAGCCTGTCCTGGAGTTTGACACCTAACACAGGCACAAGGCAACAAAAACCTCACATCACTAAGGTCTGCCCTTCAATGACCTCAGTGCAAAGTCTCTTGAAACTTACTTTCCACAGTCTTACATCACATTTCTTAGACGAGAATGGGGCCAATCTAAGGGCAGGGGAAGGTGTCCATGATCCAGAGGGTTTCTCCTGTTTCCAGAGGATTTGGGTAGGCAGGCATAAAACTGAGAGGGTGAATCAAACTAGGGATCCTTGGGTCACAGGCCTGGGACACACAAGTATCCTCTTCGACAGTGCCACTCCTAGGTTGGCCAAGGCACTTTCCCGAACTCTTTTTCTCCAGCCTCCTTAACAACAAAAGGGAACAAGCTACAAATCTTTCTTCCTCTGAGGGTCCCTTGTATATCTGCACTTTCTTGCATTCAAGTAGTGACAAGGAAAAATAAACACATCAATTCCCTTCCGTGTGCCAACATGTTCACATGGGGAAATGTACACATGCTTTGCTTTGAATTCATGCACGCCCAGAAGCCCTTTCTATAGACATTAAACATCCAGACTCCCTTGAAGTAACGGTAAATAAAACGTAAATTTAACCATCAGGTACTTTCATGCAAAATAAATCAACGCATGCCTGGTCTTACAAACAGATCGCATTGTGCCTAGGACTCGGAGAAAGTTCAGACGAGCTCTCTTAAGAAATACACGCAGCCTTTTCTTTGCTTGTAAGATTCCAGGTCTGGAACCTCAGCCTGTTGCTGACATATCAGTGCTGCCCGGGATAAAAGCAGAATATCTTGGACCTGATTCAAATGTCAAGCGCAGGAATTTAGGTGATTTCAGGTAACTTCTCTGCCCAGCCCCTTCCGACCCCCACCTCCAGTGTAAACACCTCGCAAAGTGAGTCTTTCGAACCCCCTCCCCAAGGCCACGACGGCCTCTGGTGTCACGAAGAGACCTTTCCCAGAGCTTGCGGAGTGGCAGCGGCGTCGGGCAGGACCAGATGGACGGGCCCCCAGCCTCTGGTAGGCACGTCGCCAGCTTGCCGGGCTGGAGAACTTTGCGAAGCGCCCCAAACCGGCTCCCACTCTCAGCCATTTCTCTCCTTCTCCCCTCACAACGAGCGGGGACCGAGCAAGCCGTCGCCACCTGCCGCCGGATCCCGGGGCTCTGCCTCTAGCACCCCGGAGGGAAGGCAGGCCAATGGAAAGGGGGCAGAGGTTCACACCCGCACCCCCAAACCTCACAGCGCCTCGCTGCCCGGAGGTGGCTACACAGCCCGAAGGAACCGACGCCCCCGGGCAGGCTGCCTGCTCCCCCACGGCACCGGCCCCACCCCCAATCCTTCCGGCGCCCCAGCGCCCACCCACCCGGGCGCGGGAGTGGGAGGGTGCCGCGTGGGCAGCCGGAGCAACAGGCGTGGGAGCAGCGCTCTGGGTTCCTTCCTTGCTCCAGAAGGCTGGGTCGCGTCCCTCTTACCTTCGGCGGAGCAAGCCCCGGGCCCCGCGCCCCGAGCGCGCGAGGAAGCTGCGGCCGGGAGCCGGGGGCCGCGGAGGCTCCGAGCGCCCAGCAGCGCGGGGAA